GTCCGTGTACACATCGTCCTTTACAGTCGTTTACAGGCAGTTGAGTTTACATTCGTTTTTTTTTAATGCACCAAACTTGCGTTCAGGAGATTTTATCAGCGTTTCAAACGCCAAACGCTTGTAAACGCGACTAACCACGTTTATAAGCGTTTGCGTTTAGAAGCGTTTTTTAACTGTTCCATATCCAGATGCTGTCCGGAGCCTTTTTTCATCATCAGAAATGCATGCAAAGTGTTTTCCATGTATTGAATGGACCCGGTACACCAGCGCAGTCAGTTCCAGTTCGCGTGAAGGACAAAATGGTAGAACGCGCCGCATTATACTCATGATGGGATCCATAGTGAATACAACCAGAAAAGACCGGTCATCTCCACACATACTGCTCTCTCTGCTTCTACTCTCTCTATTCCTCTCAAAATGTCTGAAATAGTTAATTTTTTACTGTTTTCAGTGCATTCTGGGCATTTTGGAAGGTCTCCTGAGGTTATCTTTAAAAAATGCTTCTAAACGCAAACGCACATAAACATGGCTAAACTGATGTTTTTTTACCCTACATTTTCCAGCAGTCAGTTTCCATCGTTCAGAAGAGTTTTTTAAACACCCTGTATACATGATCCCTTAGTGTCTCCTGAGGTTATCTTTAAAAAATGCTTCTAAACGCAAACGTGCATAAACGCGGTATGCAAACGCGGCTAAACATCCGTTTTTTTTAACCTACGTTTTCCAGAAGTCAGTTTCCATCATTCAGAAGTGTCCCGCGTACATGGAGCCTTAAAGCTGCAATATTATAGATGGGACTTAGGGCTGCTGTTTGAGCCAATGGCATCCTGGAGACTGCAAGCAAACACGCCCTGATTTATTAGACATGACCGATCCTTCCACCTAGCTTTGAGGATAAATACATAAAGAACATAAGGCAAAGTCTAACATTTCCTAAGAGCGATTTTTTTTTTATTGCCTCTAGGCAGGAGCCAAGTGTGCCACCGCTAGAGACCTAGGCCTGGGCTGGGCTTCAGTCTGGGCTAAAAGCGACGACGTCATGTCGTAACAAACTCTCAACCTGGAAAAGGCATCAGCAGAATTTTCCTAAACGGTTTTCCAAAATTTCCTCGTCACGAGGGACGGAAAGTCTAGTTATGATTTTGGTGGGGGGTTTTTTAGACTCCTAATGCCAAATTTAGCATTGCAGCCCTTGAATGGCACAATATAAAAATGTATTTTATTTATTTCAGGTACTTATATAGCGCCATCAATTTACGCCGCGCTTTACATATATATTGTACATTCACATCAGTCCCTGACCCTCAAGGGGTGTACAATCTAAGGTCCCTAACCCTCAAGGGGCGTACAATCTAAGGTCCCTGACCCTCAAGGGGTGTACAATCTAAGGTCCCTAACCCTCAAGGGGTGTACAATCTAAGGTCCCTGACCCTCAAGGGGCGTACAATCTAAGGTCCCTAACCCTCAAGGGGTGTACAATCTAAGGTCCCTGACCCTCAAGGGGCGTACAATCTAAGGTCCCTAACCCTCAAGGGGTGTACAATCTAAGGTCCCTAACCCTCAAGGGGCGTACAATCTAAGGTCCCTAACTCACATTCATACATACACATACTAGGGACAATTTAGACAGGAGCCAATTACCTACCAGCATGTCTTTGGAGTGTGGGAGGAAACTGGAGTACCCGGAGGAAACCTGCTCAGGCACAGGGAGAACATGCAAACTCCAGGCAGGTGGTGCCGTGGTTGGGATTCAAACCAATGACCTGAGTAATGTCAGGTGGAAGTGCTAACCATTTAGCCGCTGTGCTGCCCATATATATCTCATTAATATATCCTCCCTCTCAGATTGTAAGCTCTGAGGACCAGGGCCCTCTGAATCCTCCTGTATTCATTTGTATTGTAATTGTACTGACTGCCCTTATGTTGTAAAGCGCTGCGTTGGCACTAGTGCTAACCATTTAGCCACTGTGCTAAATGAGGCCAAAGGAATATGCTACATTTATGGCACCTTCCAAAAACACAATTTGCTCTTATTGAGGGGGGGGGGGGTAGAAAAAAAAATGGTTTCAAAATCTGGATACATTTTAGACTTAAAGTTTCAAATGTAAGAAAACGAGACACAAAATATAAAATGTGTCGTTATCATTTATTTTACAACTGTACTTGTACTGGAGGAGGTTGCATTATTAAAAAAAAAAATATATATATATATATATATATATATATCATTTTTATTACAAGTACCGCATTCGGCCCTCGGGCCGCAGTTTGGAGACCACTGTCATAGATGTAGCTTGTAATTCTATAAAAATGGCAGCTCAAGATAGAAGTCATATCTGCAGGTAATAAAAGAAACAACAGGGGGCGCCAACTGAGTGTAGTAGTCCTAGTACTACAACAGTGGGGGGCGTGGCTACACGTTTCAGATCATCAAGCTTCTTTCCCAAGCCATCTTGGTAATTATTATGAGACGATTGATCTGTTTATGATCACAATGGGGTTGATTTACTAACACTGGAGAGTGCAAAATCTGGTGCAGCTGTGTACAGAAACCAATCGGCTTCCAGGTTTTATTTATTTCAGGTACTTATATAGCACCGTCAATTTACGCAGCACTTTACATATATATTGTACAGTTACATCAGTCCCCGCCCCTGAGGAGCATACAATTTAAGGTCCCTAAATCACATTCATACATACACATACTAGGGCCAGATTAGACAGGATCCAATTAACCTACCAGCATGTCTTTGGATTGTGGGAGGAAACCGGAGTACCCGGAGGAAACCTGCGCAGGCACAGGGAGAACGTGCAAACCAGGCAGGTGGTGCCGTGGTTTGGATTCGAACCAACAACCCGAGTACTGCCAGGCAGAAGTGTGAACAATTTAGCCGCTGTGCCTCTCAGATTGTATGCTCTGTCTTTGGAGTGTGGAAGGAAACCCACGCAGGCACATACAAGCTCCAGGCAGGTGGTGCCTTGGTTGGGATTGGAAGCTCTGAGGACCAGGGCCCTCTGAATCCTCCTGTATTCATTTGTATTGTAATTGTAATCTGCCCTTATGTTGTAAAGCGCTGCGTTGGCACTATATAATTCCTGTATCATATTAACAATAATAATAATAGGCAGTAGACCCCCTCGAAAAACATGATTTGGAATTATTGAGGGGGGGGGTTGTTTAAAAAAAATCTGGATTTAAAATCTGGATACATTTAAGACTTAAGCTCCAAAAATAAAGTTGTTGTAAAGCAGAATATGAAAAAAATCATCATCACCCATTTTAATACTGTACTTGTAGTGGAGGAGGTTGCATTATTTAAAAAAAAATCTCATTCATGGGCAGTAGGCACCTTCCAAAATCACAATTTGTTCTTATTGGGGGAGGTGGAAAAAAATCTGGATACAGTTTAGATGTAATTGTCTCGCTTCCACAATGGGGGGCATAGAGAGAGAGATCTGATTAAAGGAGTACTCACTGGGTGCTGAAAGAGGAGAGGTAAGTGGCCTCCTACCTTCTCCTGATAGCAGGAGTAGATCCAGGGATGTGACTTTGACCCTATACTGAGTTATCTGAGTTCCAAACTTAAAAACGTGAGAAGCAGAATACAAAAAAGTATAATTTCCTCATTTTAAAACTGTACTTGTAGCAGAGGGGGTTACAGTGTTAAAAAAAATGGGCAGTAGGCAGCTTCCAAAAACATAATTTGGTCTTATTGGGGGGGAGGTAAAAAAAAATTTGGCTTCAAAATCTGGATACATTTTAGACTTAGGTTCCAAACTTAAATACTTGAAAGGCAGAATATAAAACGTGCAATCAGCACTTGTTTTAAAACTGTATTTGTAGCGAAGGCAGTTGCATCATTAAAAAAAAAAAAAAAACTCTCCATCTCATTCATAGGCAGAAGGCTCCCTCTAAAAACACAACTTGGTCTTATTAAGGGGGGTAAAAAAAAAAACCTGCCTTCGAAATCTGGATACATTTTAGACTTAAATGTTTCAAACTTAAGTACTTGAAAAGCAGAATATAAAAAAAGTGTAATCAGCACTTGTTTTAAAACTGTACTTGTAGGGGAAGCAGTTACATTATTAAAAAAAAACAAAAAAAAACAAATCTCCATCTCATTCATAGGCAGAAGTCTCCTTCTAAAAACACAATTTGGTCTTATTGAGGGGGGGGTAAAAAAAAATCTGGATACATTTTAGTACTTAAGTACTGGAAAAGCAGAATAAAAAAATATATCTATCACTTATTTAAAAAAAAAACTGTACTTGTAGTGGAAGAGGTTGTATTGTAAAAAAAAAAGAAAAAAGAAAAAAAAAAAAAAAGAACCTCTCCATCTCATTCATAGAGTTCATTGTTTTTGTAGCTAGCAGAGTTCCCTCCAGCTGCATCTCGCCGTGCATTTTGGGTATCATATTTCACAGAGCCCTCCAAACTCACACACTGCAGATCAGACACACCAGTCCCCTCCTAACCACACATCTGGGAAACATATTGCGCCCAGACCAACCGACCTAACCTCCTATATTATTGTCTCTTTGTGCACCGAAAACAAGTGCTTATTTTTCTTTCCATACTTTGTTATAAATAATATATTTCAATATTGTTCTGATCGCATGTTGCAAATGCATGCCTCGCTCATAACCTATTAATACGTTGTTCACTTTAGGTTATTATATAGCATATGTACACCCCACCAACTTTCTAAAGAATAGAAAAAAAAACTCCTTTAAAAAAAAAATCGACAATATTTGAGAGACTGGATAAACCTGCTTCTATTTTATGCATTCAAAAAATAATAAAATATGAAGAAATATAAAAATACGTCGTCAATGTATCTTACTGGAGTATACTAGACATAGATGCATGCAAAACAAACCCTGAGGTCAAAGGAAAGCGTACATTTATAAGCAGTAAGTCCCATTAGGTCTCCAGCCGTCCTGCTCAGGGACACATATGTTTAAATTTATCATTTTTAGGAAGAGTTATGTGTACTTACACTGACAATCGTAGACACAAAAAGCAGTACCAGCACTGCCACATGCAGAATTATGATCCCAAGCAATAAGAGAAGCATTTTCAGTCAAGTATTTGGATTCCTAGGAGGAAAAAAAAGAGAAAAACTTTGGTTTAAATCCCTCTCTTGGCTTCCTTCTTGTCCCTCTATGAGCAGAGATCTGAGTGAAGTCACAGGCTGGGAGAGGCAGGACACAAGGTTGAAGAATGGGTGTGTCGTTTTTGCATCTATGCAGCCATTGGCCAGTAGGGGGAGCCTGGGGATCACAAGTTAACTTTTTTTTTTTTTTTTTTTTTAAAGGGGGGCGCAATTTATTATATTCACTGAGGAATTCCCCCCCATTGCCCCCTCCCTATCAGTCAGGCAAATTGGGAGTAGCTGAAGTTGAACTTTTTATGTTTGCTTTAAGTTTGTAGCATTGGGTGACAAAAAGTGGTTTATTCATCAAAACGTTTCTCATGTGTTTTAACCACCTTAGAATCTAACTCTTTCCTGAGCCCTGGTTTAGGCAAGCAATGCAAGTGATAAGTTAAATCTGAGTGTTTTGTTTTTTTTTTTTTAATTCTCACTCCAGCTTACACACCCAGAATTCCAGCTTTTCCACATCTGTTTTTTATAAGTTTTTGCAACTTTTTTTGGCACGACTGACATATGGGATTAATAAGGTTATGTGAATCTGAATTTTTTTTTTTTTTTTTTTTAAACCCAGGCTGAGTTCCTGAAAAGATTTGCATCCCTGGCAACAGTCCTGTGCACAAATTTCAAGGGTAATTTGAGTGGAAACATGCTCATTTCGAGGGTAACCATCTACTTTCCAAAAAGAAAAAAAAAAAAAAAGGGGTTGCACATGTGTTTTTCTTCTATTCACACCTCCCCCAAAATCTACTAGCACAGGATTCCATCTCATTCTATGGCTACAGGGGAGGGGAGGGGAGGGGGGACCTGCCAGAAAACAGCGGTTGCTGCTACACAAACTATACATGAGCTACAAATAACCACCACAACATTGCAACGTAAAAGAAATACTTGTTATCACTCTGGATAGTTGATCTTCTAAAACACAGAATACTCTAAAGTTATAATCTGCATTCAAACCATTAAAAAAAAATTTTAATCACTTACATTATTATACAAAATCAATTGGTAGCTTATTTTTTATATTTTGAAAATTAAAAAAAAATTTTTATCATGAATATTATTGTAGACAATCAATTAGTGACTTATATTTCATTCTATATTTTATACTTGGAAATTTAGATTTTTTTTAAATCTATTAGTTCCTTTTGTTTATTTTGGCTTGATTGACTTTGTTCAACCTGACTATGTAAATATGCATAAAAAAAAACAACAACAACAAAAGAAACAGTTTTCCAAGTATAAAAATACAAAGAAAAAAGAAGTTACTAATTGATTCTGTATAATATATATCTTATTTTTTTTTTTGCCTTTTTCTGGATCAACTGTGGGTATAAGGTTCTGTAGATAAACGTTTTCTATTAGTTCCTTTTTTTTTTTGGCTTGATTAACTGTGTTCGACCTGAGTATGTAATTATGTTAACAAAAAACTACCAAAAAATATAGTTTTCCAAGTATAAAATTATAAAGAAAAATAAGCTACTAATTGATTCTGTATAATATACATATAATAGTTTTTTTGCATTTTTCTGGATTAACTGTGGGTATAAGTTCTGTAGATAAAGGTTTTCTATCTAGTAGTATACAAAAACTAGTAGTTCCTGATTTTGCTTTTGGAATGATTGACTTTGTTCAACCTGACTATGTAATTATATGGAAAAAAAAAAAAAACAACCAAAAAACCCCAGTTTTCCAAGTATAAAAATACCAAGAAAAATAAACTACTAACTGATTCTGTCTAATGATATACCAATTAAAAAAATAAAAAAAACCTCTCTCTCTCTATATATATATTATATGTGTGTGTATATATAATATATATATATAATATATATATACACATTTATAAGTAAAATATGTGTGGGTGTGTATATGTACATATACACACACATATATTTTATATATATATATATATATATATATATATATATATATATAATGTTATTCTTTTATTTTTTTTTGTTTGGTACATCATCATACAGAATCAGCTAGAATAAGCTACTAATTGATTCTGTATCATGATATACCAAACAAAAAAATAATAATAAAAAAATTATATATGTGTGTGTATATATATGTATATATGTATAAAAAATTATATACCAAAATTATATACAATATAATAAAATAATTAAAAAAATTATATATATATATATATATATATATATATATATATATACATATATATATATATATATATATATATATATACATATATATATATATTTATTTTTTTATATATATATATAATATATATATATATATTATTATATTGTTTGGTATATCGTTATACAGATAAATTAGTATATATATATATATATATATATATATATATATATATACATTTATAAGTAAAATATGAGTGTTTGTATTTCTATGTAGCCGTGTAATTTTTTTTTTTTTTAATAATTAAAATCTGCCAAATTTATTTGGAGACCTGTATAGAGAGAGCAGATTTTTGGGAAAGCACAGCATTGGCTGGGTGCTTCTTCTGCTATCTGCAGTCCAGCCTGACCACAGTCACACCCAGTATCCTCACCCAGCCATCCAGAATATTCAGCAGCAAGAAAGAAATTTAAAAAAAAATATTAATCACCAAAATAAAAACAGCAAGCAGGTAAAAATCTGCCTAAACACAGCAACATTATTGCAACATTGTAATAAAAAACCCATTCTAAAATGATAGAATGTAGGATGAATAGTTGCAGCAGAAATGCAGAATGAAGAGCAGCCCATGCAATGCACAATGAATGGCTCCCAGCTCCCACTTCTGGAACAGGGAATAGATGCAAGGAGTACTTACTGGGTGCTGGAAGAGGAGAGGTAAGTGTCCTCCTTGCCTGTCCTGATGGCAGGAGTAGATCCAGGGATGTGCCTTGGCCCCCACACTGAGTTATCTGAGGTTAGATGCTGTCAGCAATGAACATATAAGTTTTCCTTTTCAGCAGGAATGACGCCCTATGACGCCTGCTGCTGCCTGGGTGGGGCGCTCACAACCCTCTCCACTGCTAGAAATAAGAGGAGGAGGGGAGGGGGTTAATCCCTCCGTGTGACGTCACCCAGGAATGTGGCAGATGTCACCAGCAGTGGCTGTGCTGTGCCTGGTTAGGGTGGCATCCCCTCCCCCCCCCGCTGAGCCTTGTAGTTCTACAGCAGGTGGAGGACACCTGACTGTGGGTTAAAGGGGCACTCTAGGACTTTTTATTTCAACAAGTGGCAGAGGTGGTAGTACCTGATTTGCCTGTGGGGGCATGCTGGGAGTTGTAGTACTACAAGAGATGGGTGTAGTTTGGAACGGATGTCTAGATCAGGCTGTATCTGCGGTGTGTAGCAAGGGTAAGAAGGAATGATTTGCATGACTCCGCCCACTATCCTATAATTAAATGTAAATGCCCAATGGTGGCCATGCACGGTGCGATAACACGCGATCGATGTCCGATCAGACAAAGGGATGAACAAGACACAAATGGCATGATTGACCGATAGGAAGAGTTTTGATTGGACAGTGGTGGCAGCAAAAAATCCTTCGTACAGAATCAATCGTTAGCGTTTTTTCACTCCCTTGTGAATCACGATCGATCTACATGGACAGTTTGCTATTAAACATGTCCAGTAAAAAAAAATCGTCATAAAGTTCAGCCAAAATGTATTCTGCTCCGTGTCTTTGCTAAAAAAAATTCCCAATACGTGTAAATTAATCGGTTTACGTGAAAGTTATCGTGTTTACAAATGGCGGTATAGATAATGGGATTTTTTCTTTTTTTTTACTAGTAATGGCGGCGATCAGCGACTGCAGCGGGTATTCTGACACTGGGTGGAACTGACTTGGTGTCACTGACATCCCCAGTGACAGCAATACAGTGCCGGCAATCAGCGACTCATTGCGGGACTGTGACGGGCATTCTGACACTGGGGGAGGGAACTGACTTGGCGTCACTGACATCTCCAGTGACACCAATACAGTGCCGGCAATCAGCGACTCATTGCGGGACTGCGACGGGCATTCTGACACTGGGTGGAACTGACTTGGTGTCACTGACATCCCCAGTGACAGCAATACAGTGCCGGCAATCAGCGACTCATTGCGGGACTGTGACGGGCGTTCTGACACTGGGGGAGGGAACTGACTTGGCGTCACTGACATCTCCAGTGACACCAATACAGTGCCGGCAATCAGCGACTCATTGCGGGACTGCGACGGGCATTCTGACACTGGGGGAGGGAACTGACTTGGCGTCACTGACATCTCCAGTGACACCAATACAGTGCCGGCAATCAGCGACTCATTGCGGGACTGCGACGGGCATTCTGACACTGGGGGAGGGAACTGACTTGGCGTCACTGACATCTCCAGTGACACCAATACAGTGCCGGCAATCAGCGACTCATTGCGGGACTGTGACGGGCATTCTGACACTGGGGGAGGGAACTGACATGGTGTCACTGAATCTCCAGTGACACCAATACAGTGCCGGCAATCAGCGACTCATTGCGGTACTGCGATGGGCATTCTGACACTGGGGGGAACTGACTTGGTGTCACTGAATCTCCAGTGACACCAATACAGTGCCGGCAATCAGCGACTCATTGCGGGACTGCGATGGGCATTCTGACACTGGGGGGAACTGACTTGGTGTCACTGACATCCCCAGTGACACCAATACAGTGATCAGTGCTAATAAGAAGCACTGATACTGTACTAATGGCACTGGACAGGAAGGGGTTAACATCTGCGTCAGTCAAAGGGTTAACTGTGTGCTGTATTACTAGGGAGACATGCTGTGCAGAGAGATACAAAGCAGCATGTCCTTGCTGACAGGAGAGAGACCCCTGTTGTGTACACTCAGATCTCTTCCCTGTCAGTTTTGCCCGACGATCTCCAAACCAGGAATCACATCCCCAGCCGCCAATAGCGGTGTGCGTAG